CATAAATTTAGAGAAAACACATTTTTAATAACAAAAATCTTCTAATAAATATAATTTTATATATTTACAAATCTCTGAAACTATTGAACAAAGTACAATTATTTTATACTTTTTGAAAATATTATTAATTCTATAAGTATTCATTTATATATTTAAATAAAATTGGAAATTTCGTATAGAAAATTTGGATATAATAAATGAAATAAATAAAATCAAAATAAATACATATTAGTATATTGATACAAAATAAAAATAAAAAGGAATGTCGTGAAGAGGGTTTTAGGAGTCAGGTTTAGAAGTGGTGTTTCCAAAGAAGGCAGTGTAAAATAAAATAGTTTGAGATGTTGCAAAAGGCTCGTGCGAACGATGACGGAACAAGCGAGGTGTTGGCAGGATGGAGGAGAAGGGTATTAAAAAGGCCAGGCCAGGCGGTGTAAAAATATCATCGGTATTTTGTCGGAGGTGTCGCGGTGTTTATGGAAACGACATGTGTGTAGTTAGCGTATGTAAACATCGCGGCGCCGGACGCTTTAATGACGCCCGCGACGCGTACACAAGCCACCTTTACTGGTGTTTACATTATCAGGTCTGTTTGGAGCTGAGCCGTTGACAAAATGGGAATTTGCTTTCAACTTGATTATTTATACGGCCGCATCTTCCTCTCTTTGAATCGCCTTTTGTTAACGTTCTCATTTAAATGATTTTCTCGGAAAAACGCGCGACGTCGGCGTCGGCTGATGCGAACTGGGCGTCCGTTAAAGCAGACAAGGAAAAATCCCGTTTGTCGGTTCCTGTTTCTCCCAAGAGTCTTCTCTATTTGTATGTATATATATATGTGTGTGTATATGAGTATTTGTGTGTGTGTCTGTTTCTGCGGCAAATAATAAAGGAAAGGCACGGATGATAAATCCGGCATTGTCTGGAGCAATTTAGTATACGCGAGGGCGTCAATCCCGATTTCCCGGCGCATTTCCGTGACAGATGACGTCACTTACCGGCAGGACATATTCGATCAGAATTCCTCTGATAAACGACGTGCCGGCTCCCCAAATATTAAGTTACTGCCATGGCCGACCTTAATCAGTGGCCCCATCCACTCAGGCCCAATTACAAAACCGCCAAACACTCACAAATATTAAAACGGATTCGTTACGTGCACATACGTCCATCCATTTCGAGCAAGTCCGCAGATACAGATGTACATAACATACCCATGCACCACAGACAGGATAGATGTGTGTGCGAGCCGTTCGGACCAGAGTCGAGGCTTACATAAGTTATGTCCGGTTTCCCAGCCATTACTTATAAATATATTGTTATTCGCATTCGTTTCACGCTTTTCCCATCAGTCGCCTATCTTGCGTACGGCCATGCATACAAGATGCTTATGATATTTTAACGGATGCCCCCATCTCGCAGATGCTCTCTCATCTTGCACCGACCGGGTTCCATCCTCCATCCATCCATCCACTATCCTCATCCTCTCTCCCCGCCGTCCGCCCCGTCGGACGATACGATACTTCTTCGATCCGGGGCGAGCAGCAACATAATTACGAGATCCGCCGTTTTGGCATTGGCTCTGGGCCTTATATTGATATCGATGTTCGGTGGGAATGACGGGCGGCGACCCAATCTATCTCGAGATCCTCCTGGGTCGCTCTTCTGCGGCCTTCTTCAATTCCTAGTTCAGCTCCGCCGGGACGCGGCTACCTGTTCCTGATTTATCACTCGTCCGCTCCACTTTTCCTCCGGACTTCTCCATTCCTGCCAGGGAATCAGACTAAATTATGGCTGCCTCGTGATAATTGTACCAGTTGTTCTTAGTCTACACAAACAAACCCCTGATCTCAGTAATGTCGATCCAGATCTATTTTATATCCACTATATTCCAAAAATATATGATACTTTTTAGAAAAGTCTTTTTAGAATCATAATGATTTAGATTACAAAAACGTATACATTATCATATATTTATAGTAACAATATTATTTTATACTCACTTGGCGTTTTCAATTGCAAAACAAATATTTTCATATACAATATGAAGATTAAAGTACTTAGGTCTGTTTCACGTCTCTTTATAATTTAAATAGTGACATTACAAACTTTTATAATTTCTTGTATCCTAATAATAGTTACAAACAGTACAAAATTCTTAAATTCTACAATTTATTGTCTCCAAGTAATTTTTAAAACTAATTAGATTTTCAACCCACGTAAAAATAAATGAACACAATTTAAAACTACAAGGATTTTCTTAAATACTTGATTACAATCTTGAAAATATTAATTAAATCCTCAAAGCAAAATTGATTTTTAATGTAAATAAAAAAAATCTTGTCTTAGTGACTAACTTTTGTTTTTTTTTTTGTAAATCTTATATAAAAATTAACTGAATTCCCTAGTCTGCATCTTCAATCCATTCCGGTCCGGTCCGGTGGTCATTCCCTATTTCGTTATTCGTGTGTATCCCAGAGCTCATCAAATTTGCAAGCGACAACATAAATCAGTTTTTTTTTTGCATGGGCAGACACAATCGCCTACGTGACCATAAGGGATGAAGAGGGGGTGGGAATTGGGGGGATGGGATGCGTCCAGGGAATCTGACTGATACGTTCCATCTTTGCCACTAAATTATGCAGCGGCCACGCTTCCATCAAAATTCCCACTTTCCGCTTAGACCCCCTAATTAAACCCGCAACAATTGTGACACGCGCCCATTAATGTCGCGTGATGCGACCCCACGATACCATCCGTCATTAGTACCTGCCTAATTGCAGGTTTCGTTTCCAGAAAATTACCCTTGCAAATCCCCATGACAAATTCGAAAAACGAAAGGATCGACCTGCACGAATCCAACAAAACGTATTCAAATTTTTGCAACCCCAAAAACAAATATATAAAAAAAAAACATAATCTAATTGAAATCAACGTGGGTTAATTATCTAAAGCAATTAAAAAGTCATTAGTCCTCCTCTAACGCTTTGATCTTCACGATGCATTTTTCAACTTCTCTAATCTCATAAAACCGTACACATGTGAAACAATTTTTGTATTTACTTTTTTTTGTCCACTCGTTTATTACATTTACAATTATTCGCTGAATTCGTAACATTATATTACAATGTTAAAATTAAATTATTCTT